TAAATTGGGAGTTTGCTCTGATTTGCCAGGCTGGAGTGCAGTGGCGCGATCTCGGCTCACTGCAACTTCTGCCCCCCGGGTTCAAGCAATTCTCCTGCCTCAGCCTCCTGGATAGCCAGGATTATAGGCGCCCGCTGCCACGCCCAGCTACATATTTGTATTTTTTAGTAGAGAACAGGGTTTCACCCATGTTGGCCAGGCTGGTCTTGAACTCCCGACTCCAGGTCGATCCCCTCTTCTTGGCCTCCCAAATGTTGAGATTACTGGCGTGAAGCCACCGCGGTGGGCGGTTTCATCATTTTTAATGATATAATGTAGTCAGCCAATGGTACCATATTTTCATATCCTAGGGTAAGCCACATTCTCACACCACAGAGAAAATCAAATTATAACCAGGTTATTTAATTACTAGAAATATAACTGGCCAGGCTATGGTAACGTCAAGTCCACTGCAACCTCCGCCTCCCAAGTTCAAGCGATTCTCCTGCCTCAGCCTCCTGAGTAGCTGGGATTATAGGCACCCACCACTATGCCCAGCTAATTTTTTATTTTGAGAAGAGATGGGGTTTCACTGGTCTCAAACGCCTGACCTCAAGTGATCCACCTGCTTCAGTCTCCCAGAGTGCTGGGATTACAGGCATGAGCCACTGCACCCGGCCTCACAGTCACAAACTTTGATTCACAATTTAGTCTCTTAAGTATCTCCATAGCAGGAATGGGATGGCCTAAATATGGGATTTCAGTCATTGGAAGGGTATCTACTTGAACAGTAAAATAAGCAAATTTGTACCTGGCTTACTCATCAGTCTACTGACAGCTGGGTTACCATGAGTCAGACTCCAAGAATATGATCAATTCTGGATACATAGACAAATTAGATAAAATTCTGGATCTGTGAAGCTGACAACCAGATAAAACTGTGGTGGTCCCATTGGTATTGCAATTGAGACCCTATTTGGAGAGTCAACCACACTCCCTTATTCAGAGGTCTTTTAACAACTATTAATGTGCCAGGGTGCTGGGAAAACAGCAGCAAGTAAAAACAAAGTCTCTATTCTCAAGGAGCTTCCATCTAATGGAGGGAAGGCCAACCAAAACAAAAAAGTAAGTATATAACATGTTTGGTGGTAATAAAGCAAGAGAATAATGAGAAAAATAAAGCAAGAAAATAAAACAGAGGAAGGGTTTTGTTCTTTTAGGTAGGCTTGTTCCCTCTGACGAGGAGACACAGGAAATGGACCCATATTTGGCATGGCAGAAGCAGAGAGCAAGGGGCAGCAGGGAAAGAGGACAGAAGGAGGAGGGGCCAGCTCCTACAGAACCTCACACATGCTGGTTCAAACTTTGGGTATTAGGAGGAAAGATGAAAAGTCAGTGGGAGAGATGTGAGCAAGAAAACCTGACCTTTCGTTGGAAAGGAGCACCCTGGCTGCTGGGTGGAGAGCTGGTTAGAGGCGGACATGGCAGAAAGAAGCCAACGGACTAGTTAGGAGGCTGTCCCAATCATTCAGGAGACAATGATGCTGTGGGCCTGGTAGTGGCAGTGGAAATGGTGAGAGGTGGCCAGATCCTGGAGAGGGATGTCAGGACTGGTAGCTAAGTTGGACGTGGGGTGTGAGAGAAAAAGGATTTAAGGAGGTCTCTAAGGTTCTTGGCCTAAGCCAATGGAAGAACAGAGGTGTCCTTCACTGGGATATGGACTCGGAAAACCACTTTAGGGGGAAAATCAAATGAGTTACAGTCTCTCCAATCTTAAGAAACTCTAACAAACACCTCATTATTTCTTTTAATATTATATGCACCTGGTTTTGTGCTAGCAACTTCATGGGGCACATTTTTGACCCTCTTACTCTCCACAGGCAAATCTATTTACCTTCTTTCTTCTTGAGACAGGGTCTCACTTTGTCACCCAGGCTGTAGAGAAGTGGCATGATCTCTGGTCACTGATCCTCCTGCCTTGGTCTCCCAGAGTGCTGGGATTACAGGCATGAGCCACTGCACCCAGCCCTTACCTTCTTTCTTATGATGTAATTTACTTTGAATAATTAAAGCTCCCTCCATGTTTGTGAATTTCTACAAATTTATTTAGTTAGTATAAAGAATAATTACTGGGCTGGGCACGGTGGCTCACGCCTGTAATCCCAACACTTTGGGGGGCCGAGGCAGGTGGATCACCTGAGGTGAGGAGTTCGAGACCAGCCTGGCTGACATGGTGAAACCCCATCTCTACTAAAAATACAAAAATTAGCCGGCCGTAGTAGCGCGCGCCTGTAATCTCAGCTACTCGGGAGGCTGAGGCAGGAGAATTGCTTGAACCCAGGAGGCAGAGGTTGCAGTGACCCGAGATCGTGCCACTGCACTCCAGCTGGGCGACAAGAGGAAAACTCTGTTGCAAAAAAAAAAAAAAGGAATAATTACCATTACTGAATACATTGCGTAGGGCAATGTAAATTACATCTTTCTTATGATATAATTTACTTTGAATAATTAAGGCTCACTCCATGTTTATGAATTTTTATGAACTTATTTAGTTAGTATAAAGAATAATTACTATTACTGAATACATTGCATAGGGCCTGATACTTTACCTATTTATTTCCTCTTCAGGCCCTCCAAGAGGGGGGATGTTGTGCACTGGCTGTCAGCTTCTTGAGGGCAGAGCCCATCCATGTCTGTTTCGTTCACCACTGTTTACCCAGTGTCCTAGTGCAGTATATAGTTGTTGCTGTATAACTGAATGAATATCCTGATATTATGGATAAGGAAACTGGCTCAGAGAGATAAAACAACTCACTCCAGGTCACCCAGGTCTTCTGACTCAGACTTTGAAGGCAATGCTTTTCCACTACTCTACTTGACCTTTCACACTGGGATCCAACACAGAACTGAATTATTCAATTATAGTATAAAACTATGCAACTATTTAAAAAGGGCAATTATGGAGAAATTATATTTATAGAAATGTTTTATGTTGTGCTAAGAAAAGCAGGATAACTATATGTTTATAAGGACTGCCATTATGTAAAACATTTAGACATATGATCAGAAAGGAAGAAGTATAAGTGGAAATATAGTAGGAAATGCATGAGAGTGGTTGATTTTTTTCCCTCCGATCTTCAAATGTTGTGATAACCTATTTTAAAATGTTACTTGTAAAATGCGATGTCCAAACACTGTTTACTTACCTTTGAGGGTGTGGTGTAAGAGTTCAAGAGGATTTCCTCTTCTTCTTCCACTTCAATTCTAAGAACACTGGTTAAGAAAAACAATCGCCGGGCACGGTGGCTAATGCCTGTAATCCCAGCATTTAGGGAGGTTGAGGTGGGCAGATCACGAGGTCAGGAGACAGAGACCATCCTGGTTAACATGGTGAAACCCCATCTCTACTAAAAAAAAAAATACAGAAAATTAGCCGGGCGTGGTGGTTGGCGCCTGTAGTCGCAGCTACTCCGGAAGCTGAGGCAGGAGAATGGCATGAACCCGGGAGACGGAGCTTGCAGTGAGCCGAGATCATGCCATTGCACTCCAGCATGGGTGACACAGCGAGACTCCATCTCAAAAAAAAATTAATAATAATAATAATAATAATAATAAATTTTCATATAAGGCAAGGGCTAATTGCTAGAAGAAATCTAAATATTAGGTAATTTTTACAATTATTATTATTATTGAGATGGGGTTTCCTCTGTCATCCAGGCTGGAGTACAGTGGCCCAGTCTCAGCTTACTGCAACTTCCACCCTCCAGGTTCAAGAGATTCTCCCACCTCAGCCTACCAACTAGCTGGGTCTACAGGCATGCATCACCACGGCCAGATTATTATTATTATTTATTTTTTTTTTTTTTGAGACGGAGTCTTGCTCTGTCACCCAGGCTGGAGTGCAGTGGCCAGATCTCAGCTCACTGCAAGCTCTGCCTCCCGGGTTTACGCCATTCTCCTGCCTCAGCCTCCGAGTAGCTGGGATTACAGGCGCCCGCCACCTCGCCCGGCTAGTTTTTTGTATTTTTTAGTAGAGACGGGGTTTCACCGTGTTAGCCAGGATGGTCTCGATCTCCTGACCTCGTGATCCGCCCGTCTCGGCCTCCCAAAGTGCTGGGATTACAGGCTTGAGCCACCGCGCCCGCCTATTATTTTTTTTAATTTGTACTTTGGCCAGGCAGTGACTCACGCCTGTAATCCCAGGACTTTGGGAGGCCTACGTGGGCGGATCACCTGAGGTCAGGAGTTCGAGACCAGCTGGCCAACATGGTGAAACCCTGTCTCTACTAAAAAAAAATTACAGAATTATCCAGGTGTGGTGGCGCGTGCCTATAATCCCAGCTAGTCAGGAGGCTGAGGCAGGAGAATCACTTGAGATCGGGAGGCGGAGGTTGCAGTGAGCCAAGATTGCACCATTGCACTTCAGCCTGGGCAAAAACAGTGAAACCAACTCACACACACATAAAAAATTTTGTACTTTTGGTAGAGACAGGGTTTCACCTTGTTGCCCAGGTTGGTCACAAATTCCTAGCTAGGCTCAAGTGATATGCTTGCCTCGGCCTCCCAAAGTGCTGGGATTACAGGTCTGAGCCACCATGCCCGGCCTTATTATTGTGTTTAAATTACACATGCAACTACAGACAAATTATAAAATGCAACATGCAGCTTGGTGAAAAAGACCTTCAGCAGAAAAGGATACAGCTCTTGAATGGAAACAATGTCTCTAGCTCCCGCATGGCCACTGTCCTTGCAGGCACTGTGCCGGGCTTTTGATAATCTTTTGCTCAGAAACTGAAAAAGAAAAGATAGTGAACACTGTACTTCATAGTCAAGTAGTAGCAGAGGTGTTTTCCAAAGCCTTGAGATAATAAAAGGTATTCAAAATATAATCAAAGATCTAACATTCCTCAAAGAATTAAGATACATACAGACTAAAAACAAAGACATCCCATTACTGTCTATAACACATAACAATCCTAACAATACCAACTATTTGGTGAAGACTTATCACCTGCTGGGTGATAGTTTTAAGTGCTGTATGTCCATTCTCATCTCTTTTTTTTTTTTTTTTTCACCCTTTGAACCAACGGAGGTGGAGGATTGAGTGAGCCAAGACATGCGCCACTGCCACTCCAGCCTGGGTGACAAGAGAGAAAACTCCATCTCAAAAAACATAACAAAACCAAAAAGTAGCCGGTGTGGTGGCGGGTGTAACCTGTAATCCCAGCTACCCCGGGAGGGCTGTGGTCAGGAGAATCACTGGAACAGCGGGAGGCAGAGGCCTGCAAGTGTCTGAGATCAAAGCCACTGCAAACTCCCACCCTGGGTGCAGAGCAAAGAAACGTCCAAATCTCAAAAAAAAAAAAAAAAAAAGGCCAGGCGCTGTGCTCAACGTCTGTAAATCCCAGCACTTTGGGAGAACCTCCAGGCGGAGCGGATCATGAGGTCAGGAAGATCGAGGGGAAGCATCCTGGGCAACATGGCAAACCCCGTCTCCTAACTTAAAAATACAGAAAAATTAGCCAGGCATGGTGGTGCGTGCTTGTAGTCCCAGCTACTTGGAAGGCTGAAGCAGGACGAAATCA